TCAATAACAGAGTAAAACACGACTCACCTTAGCGCGCACGGATGAATGAAATACAGTGGGAGATCAGGACGCAAAAAACAATTTTTCTGAATGAAAATGAGAAAAAGACGGTCAATACTTATATGTCTTTCCTGGCACTACTCCAGCTATAGTACAACAGCGCTTCGCTCATAATTCATACGTAATTATCGCGTAAGAGAGTAAAACACGACTCACCTTTAACGGCGGAAATCGAGGGGAGCGGGAGAACAGGCACCGAAAACTAAGCCCACAGAGGGAGGAACGTGATTGGTCAAAAGTAAGTCCCAGGGGAGGAACGTGATTGGTCAAAAGTAAGCCGTAGGGGAGGAACGTGATTGGCTACTGTGGGCTTACTTTGGGCTTACTTTGGCGGAATAGACGGGATACACCAAGCGCAAGCGAGAGGTAGTGGGATCGATGCCCACATTCTCCAGAAAATTCTGAATATCTTGATTTTACTCTGGTAGAGAAAGTTTTGAAATTCAGCGTGACAAAGTCCTCTTCTAAAATCAAACAGAATACCTGTTTTTATGCCATGGAGTGATATGATTCAGAGAAATGGTGTTCCATCCCCAGTAATGCTCAGAGAATTGTAGAGTCACCAACGTGGAAGGAAATGTTTCCTGACAGCACATGTTGGCCTATCACCTTACTTTGACACTCACTAAATGCACATTTTTATCCACTAACTTGTTTCCTGTCTGTCATTTCAAGGTGGTAAGACATTTAGAAGAGGTAACTATGTTGAGGCACCTGGTCAATAGTTTTCTCACTACATGCAACAGCAATTCTGTATTTGAAATAATGATCTTAATATTCTGTCAATTAGAGTTGACTATGACAAGGATGGGATTCAAACCCACGTGTGCAGACCACAATGGATTAGCAGTTCATTCTTGGGGTACAATTTAGGGATTACAGGGCTCTAGCTAATGTTTTCTGGTATTGTACATGTGTACATAGGCAACTGCACTTGCTTGTGTTTCTTGAAGATGTTTCACTTGTTCATCCAAGAGGCTTTTTTAGTTCCAACAGACTTGTGGGAGGTGTCTGGTATTTTATCACTCTAGGATCTTCACCTATCCTCAGAGTTGTTGTGTTAAACATGCAGGTGGGAGCTCCTTGAGTACAGGTGTGAATAGCTGATGATACCTGTAAGCCCTTGACTCACCCTGCTATGGTGCGATGCATTAGGGTCACAAGCAATCTCAGGACAGGCAAAGAGGTGAAATAGCTAAATTCTCCCACTACCAAGTTAGAACCTAAAGAGGATTCTAGTAAGAGAAGTGACATGTTTTCAAGAAAACAAAACAAGCCTATCTGCACACATGTGTGCATCGATCACATCCAAAGCGAGGTCTGTAGCATTTCATCTAATTCTCCTGTGTAAAAATTGCTTTTGTGGCACATCATCACAACCTTTTCCGCATTTATGTGTTCTCCCCTCAAGTGGATCATATTCCTGATGAAAGACGCTCATCACAGGACCTCAGAGGAGACTTAAATGCAGCTCTTTCTAGACAAACAGAATTATCTTTAAAGCGTGATAGTTATACACTTTCTATTATTTGTTATTTCAAACTACATATGTTTTGATGCTCATAACCCTTGTATTATGGTGAGAAAAAATACATTTATTATGTTGCGGGTCATTTTGACCCATATTGTGTAAATCCAATCAAAACAGTCAAAAATGAAGTTAAACCAATAAGAATTTCATTTTAGATTAAACAAACATTTATAAGAGATGAGAAAAAGAGATATATAATTCCAACACTATATTAAAGAGCTCCTGATTTCAATTTTTCCCTCTTCACGAACACTTTTTTTTTCATTTAACTTGCCCCATTTTTTCTCGATTTTCAATGTTCAACATTTCAGTGTTCTCCACATGATGGACAGAATGTGACTGTGTGCTTTCTGCAGATGTACCACTTGCACCTCACACAACAGGTACTTGTTTTACTGTCAATTCGGGAGGGACAGAGTTGGCATCTTTTGCGTTTCTTTGCACCTGTATCCAAAGGATCCATTGTGGGTTGGTCAGATGCCCTGCCCTGGACCTTTGCGGTGACAGCTGCAGCTGCTGGGTATCGAGCTGGCCTGGCCCGGTTCTGGATCTTGGGAGTGACGAGTGCTTTGCCTAGTTCTTCCAGGAAAAGTCGACGTCGGTACAGTTTGCTGGCATTCCACTGCTGTTGCTGTGACTTTGTCAAGATTGTCAASTCAATTGTTGTAACCAATTGGAGTTGTAATCCAGGATCATTTGCAGCTTCATGTCCTCTCTTGTGCTCAGAGATGCATCTTTGTGCATTGTGCTCATCACAAGAACATTCTTGTTTTTCTTTGGGCAGTAAGAAACAAGTGTTGTTTTGTCGAGGATTATCTTCTCTATGGGTGGGGATATGAAGAGCTGAAATGCTGATTCAATATCATCAACTCTTGCGACAGCAAATCTTGTCGGACCAGGAGTCATTTTGATGACATTAGAAGATGAAAATCTGCCTCGGCTTTGGTGTGGTGATGTTGACCATTCTATTTTACCATCTTTAGATGTCCATGTCCCCTCTGTGGATGACAATTGTTGCGTTTCTTGGTTTTCATCYGATGAAGGGACACCGGCAGACTCGTCCTCTGAATCCTCCTCATCGTGGGAAAATTGACAATCTGGATCATCAATAGCATTGTCCTCTGGTTCTGAAGGTTCCTCTGTCTCTGAAATCTCTTCCTCTACATCACTATCCCAGTTCATAAGCTGTGATAAAACTTCTTCAGCTGTAAATCGTCTGGAGCTCATTTTTGATGTATTCCTCAAAGAAAAGGCATGGAAACAGTGACAAGGACAGGGGAGAGAAAGTCCCTCTTCCACACACAATGGCTATTCAGAGGCAATCAAAATAAAGTTTATCAAAAAGACATGTTTATTTTGGATTTTAACAGCTACTTTGTGTCCGGGTCAAAATGACCCGCAACATCATCTTTGTATACAAACTCTGTGCAAAAAAATGCTATCTCTAACAGTGTGCTTCTGACAGATATTAAATGTGTGAATTTTCCCTTAATTTGAGAAAATATATATTTTATTGATCCCATGCTGAGGAAATTCAGTCAAAAGAATATAAATATACAAAACTAAAGTCCAAACACAAAGGGATTGCAAGTCCAAACTGAATATCAAAAAGTCCATCAAGTGTATTCAATACAATTCAAAAAGGAAAATGTTCCCTCCTCATCGCTCTGCTCCTCTCCCTGGTTCTCCTCTTGTGCCTGTGACTCCAGCTGATGGGCATCAACTTCCTCTGGAGTGCGTAGAAAGTGACGCACTGGTGCCACCAAGCAGAGTGGGTCAGCGTGACACCAGCCCATTGAACAGCCCAGTCCAAAACAGTGGGACTCTGTTGGGTGTGGGCCTCCAATCTGCTTTGCATGTGTACACAAACTGCATTAGCGTCAGCAGAGGGGCTGATGGCACCATCCACAGGTTAATCTGCTGAAGTGCAATGCTTGTGTTGCTGCAGTTTTGACTGTGCTTTCTGGCCCCTTCTACAGTGCAGTTCTCTTCTATCTATTGTCATTCTGTATAAGTGCATCTGTGCCTCTAACCCTAACCCTAACCTCAAGCCCGTCTGACAACTTTGAGATGAACAGAAACACAGTCTGTGAGCAATTGCCTTAATGTAAACATCATATGCCAGCAACAGCAGAGAGCTCAGTCAAAAGAGTTTAGAATAAAGTGGCAAAAGGTAAAGTGTAAATAAATACATTACTTGATATATAACTTGATATATACTACTGCTCACCATTAAAGCCATCCATAACCTGGCTCTCCCATACATGTTGAACCTTCTCGATCCCTACAATGCTTTCCATGCCCTGCGCTCTTCAGCACTATGGGTGCAACAGCCATCAGATTCTCTGTGCCACGACTCTGGAACTCCTGCCACATAACTGCTGCCAGTTAGCCTCTATTTAACTGTTCAAATCACATCTGCTTGGATCAGACTTCCTTTACATCTTATCTATCCTTCACTTATCAGACTTAAACCTTTGGTTTTACTTTTAATCACTCTTGTGTTCACATATGATGCACTGTTAGGTGTCTATGCCTTTTAACCTGATTTAATCTTGGTTTTACTTCAATTATTTATGCATTTTGATTTAGTATATCTTTTAAGGAGGTATCCTTGAGTGTTTAGAAATGCAGAGTGTAATAAAAACAAGTATTATTATCAGACTTAAAGGTTCAGTGGGTAAGATTTAGGTGAAAGGAATTTTTGGCAGAAATTGAATATAAAATAATCCTAGTGATGTTTTCAGTGGTGTTTAATCATCTAAATTGTACAAATTATTGTTTTCTTTACCATAGAACGAGCTCTTTATATTTAAAAACTTTATGTTTACATGGAGGGGACCCTCTCTGTGGAGGCAGCCATGTTTTTTACTGTCGTCCAAACTGGACAAACTAAAACCTTTTGAGTTTTCATGACAACTGAAGTTCACCACAGGTTCTCTCTCATGTTGGGAAGGGGAGGGTGAGGTGAGGAGTCTTCAGCTGCAACATGCAACTTCACCTCTAGATGTCACTAAATTCTAAACACTGAAACTTTAAACTGCTTTTCTCTTCAGTTGTGACATATTGAACCTGATCGTCAGAAGATGGATGCAGTAGACTTCAAGCCAAAAGCTACAATTGCATTATATGTATGAATGTTATTCATATTTATTTGAACTTGTTGTGGGTGTTGCTTGGTAAGAATCAAGTTGTAATAATACTAATGATTTCTTATTCTTATTATCATTATCATAACTAGTACTACTGTTATTGTTGACGCTCCGCCGTCCTGGAGCGGTCCTTCTCCACCGCACCACACACTGACCCGTTTTGTGCAGTGACGTAGAAGCGGAAGTGGCGTTCGCTGTTCCGGACACGTGGTGCACGGTGGGCGTGCTCAGGGCGCTGATGTAAACACAAAATACGCCTCATCCCCCGGTCGGATAAGTCACAGTGGACTGGATCGGCGAGATTAACCCAAATATCCGTCATTGGTCCGTGACAACGCTCCTTGTCTGTCGTGTGTAATATGCGTTAAATCGCAGACAGGCGACGCCATGGACTTCTACATCAACCTGAAGGTGAATTTCAGGGGAAATTCCAAGAATTTCCTCCTGTCGGGATCTGAGACCAAGAGCTGGGAGTCGATGGAGGCCATGGTAAGAGTCAGTCTGCCCGCTCACATACAGTCTTTCCACGGTCTGTGGTTGTGCCTCAGCTGTAGCTATTCCATAGCTGCTGTCACTGATGCACACAGATGCCGCTGAATCAGCTCTAGCGTTACCCATCATGCAGCTCGTGTCCAGTGAGCTGCAAACATTGAAGCTGTGAAAATCCTCCCAGCACAGCGGAGACACCAGAGTCCCAGAGGACAGGGAGGATACAAGTCCTCACGGTGTTATAAGGGACAGGGACACACTGTGGTCCGTCTGAATCACACAACCACCATCTGAGGTGAATGCTTGGCCTGTGAGCCTATTAGTCTTCATAGAGCTGTTAATTACATAGCAGCAGCTACAGTCAGGAATATTTGATTTTGACGTGAATGAATAGGTGCAAGCCTAACACCACAATACATGTATATACTGCTTTGTTTCACAACAAAGCGCAACTGACAATATCACAGTCCATCGTGTTATTCATGTATACGGATATTGTAATCTGAAATAAGTTTTAGTCCCAGAGGAATGAGAAGGTTTTACGCCATGCTACCTGTTCAAAGTCAGGGTCAGTATAGATAGATAGATACTTTATTGATCCCGAACGAAATTCAAGCATCCAGTGGCAGTAACATACATTGAACATACATTAGACTTGACTTATGCATTAGAGTTAACTTATAACACTGTAACCATACATAGAAATTGGCCTGAGATTAATGTAAATTTAAATGTGTACAGAGGAATTAAGGAGATGAAATTAAATTAAACAATTGAAGCAAAATTAAACCTTTACAGAGAAATTAAACATTTGCAGTGGATTTCAATATGTACAGAGGAATTAAAAATATATATTAAAGAAAATGTTTATAGAAAATAAATATAGAACTGTGTTGAGTGAACCCGTGCTAATCGTCTATACAAAAACTACATAAAAACTGGAAGGTAACTATAGAAATAAAATAAACATGAGTGTTTGTACTCAGCCTGACCACATTGATGTGGTCAGGCTGACCACATTGATGTGATTGATGTTAACTCCTTGGCTCATGAGTCAAGCTGCACACAAGACAGGTGAAAAAAGACAGATTGTTTGGTGGCCACACTACACATGACCCTGCTGCTGCTGCAGATAATATAGTGAATGAGAGTGAGTACAATCGAAAGAATGGAGCTTAAAAATAAATAAAAAAATCTAATTCAAAGGTGGAGGCAAAAAAAAAAATCACTTCAGACTGTCAGATTGTGAGGGAATTTGTTGTGTTTCCTGTTTAAATCAAACTGCAGAATTATTTAATTCAGAGACAGCTGTGATGTCCCCAATCTTAAATGTAACAGAATTATATTTTTTAAATTATTTTGTAAAGAAGCTCTATACAGAAATGTAAATTTGTACAGTGTTAATCACATCACACACAGTGGTGAGTACTTGTGTTTATACTGGGATGGTTTGGTTCCGTAGGTCCAATCTGTGTAATACTGGACTCAATTCAGCACAAATATCCAAAATCACAGATATATAGAATCTATCAGCTGATTAGTCATCATCATGAGACATCATCTGTCATCATCATGAAATCTTTGTGATCTCTGAACTGTCATTTCCTCCTCATCCTATTATTTGCACACTCTATCAGTGCCAATGCATCCATATTTAGGTGCAAGGGATCGATTGTCAGATATTAAAATAATCCTACTGAAATTTCACTAGTGTGTTACATCTAAATTGTACAAATTGTTGATTTATTTACTCTAGAATGAGCCCTTTATATTTAAATACTTAATGTTTACATGAGGAGTGGGTCCTCTCTACGGAGGCCACCATGTTTTTTACAGTAGCCCAGACTGGACAAACTAAACATCTTTTGAGTTTTAATTACAACTAAAGGCTACCAGAGTTTCTCTTTGTTTGAAATGGGAGGGTGAGGGGCATTCAGCTGCAACATGCAACTTCACCACTAGATGTCTCTAAATGCTACACACTAAACCTTCAATCTTTTTTTTTGTGAGGAATCTCCAGTGCACTCTGTGAGCCTGATGGCACAGTAACGTTCACTTCAGCTATTTTACAGCTATTTTGCACACTTGATGAATTACGCACAGTGTGAAGATATTATTAAAAAAACTATTAATGACTCAACACTGCTGTTAAATGGTATCTGAACATAATTTGCTGTAAGTTGTTTTATATCTTTTTCAATTGAAGCTTCTTATGGTACAGTTATGTCAAGCGAGCACAAATAAAGCTGTTGGTTTTAATGTTAATGATGAAGCAGATACATTTTTTGGCTTCAGTTCACCTCCTCCTGTCTGCATCGTCATTTTCCCATCTACAAAATATTTATTTGCATCGGTCAGAGTTAGCGTTCAAGTGTGCACATTCTCCTGTAATGTTTGTTTTTATAAATCACTTGCGTGAGAAGTGGCCCCATTTTGTGTGCATGCAACAGTTATAAATGAAGCCCCAGGTCTTTCCTCTCCACTGAAGACCTAGAAAAGGTTATCCATGCCTTTATTTCTTCCAGGCTTGACTACTGCAATGCATTTTATTCAGACATCATTCAGAGAAACATTCAAAGACTGCAATTAATACAGAATGCTGCTGCCAGGCTTTTAACACATACTAAGAGTGACCATAACAATGTGACCATAACAAGATATGTGAGTTTTAGGGTTGATTTTACTGCTTGTTATTAAAGCTTTGAGTGGTCAGGCTCCAGCATATACATGTGATTTGTTAACCTCCCGTAAGGCTGAATGCTGCCTGAGAACCTCCAACATGGCCTTCTATTAATTCTAAATCTTGACTGGTGACTATTGGTGACTGGGCCTTCGCTGTCCAGGCTCCTCAACTCTGGAACTCCCTGCCTGTATCTTCTTTTCAATCTCTAAAACTTAAGTTTGGAAATGTGGTATATATTCTTATTATTATTACAATATATTAATGCAATGTTATACCTGTGCACCCTAATCAAATTAATGTGAACAAAACTGGATATCAAGATGAGTAAAGAAAGATATTATATAGTTTTATGTTTAGCATACAATAGTAAATGAATGAACATACAGGAAATTCAACATACAGGACACTTTTTCATTTCATTGTGTTCAAGGCACCAGCTTTTGGCCTTCACTTAAAAATACCATTGGGCTGCTACACCAATGACTATACATAAAGATGGACGAAATGAAAGCTCCTCAAAAGTAAAGTTGGTGCATCTGGATCTCCCGCTAGTGGCTGGCTGCATTATAGGTCATATACCCTTCCTCCCCCATGTTAGCAAATGGACCAAAATAAAATAAAATGAATAAAATATGAATAAATAATGATCCAATAATAAAAGATGACCTCTGTCATTTGTGGTGCTTTTATCACACCAATGCTCATCTTTCTGATAAGCTTGGTTATAATTGATCATTTCCTTCTATATTCATGAGATTGATCCAGGGTAATTTGGCTAGGCAGGTGAATGGGCGGAACCACTTCCACCATTCCACCCCACAATCGTTGCAGCATAGACTGGTTTCAAATGAAAGCAGCATCACAAGATGGCAGAGCTCATATCAGAGATATTTTGCCACTGTATTTGTACAACGGGAGGAAGTGGAGATATGTTGTCCATCTTGATTTACAGTCATTCTAATGGAACAGTCCACACAAAATGAAAGCCCAGCAATTTTTCCTTGCAGCTTGTCTAAAGTTAGCATTACCAAATAGCACAAGGTAAGAAGAGCTTGTGTAACATCATCTGGTAGGTTTGCAGCTAGAGAAAATAAACAGTTAATTGAATATGCAGATTTGATTACAGCCATAAAAGATGCACTCAGGGAATTCCCCAGTGTTGTTATTACATTCATTCAAATACTTTAAAATCCGACAGAGGTTTTAAATGCTCCTGATCCCCCTAATGTGGAGAAAATGTGCATGTGTTACAATACATTTGAAATATTATAATGCCATTGCAACGTTTAACTTTCAATAACACACAGATTCTGAACGTCTGCATTTTCCCACTGCTATTTTATTTTTTGAATCACTCGTCAATTAAATCATAAAATTTGATCCAGCCAGTCGTGAACCAGATTCTGGTCCAGGCTCTTGCCATCTCATGCCTAGACTACTGCAACTCCCTCATGGCCTGTCTGCCTGCTAATGCCATCCAACATCTGCAGCTCTACTAGTCTTTAACCTAACTAAGTTCTCTCACACTACTACGCTCCTCCGCCACCCTTACTGGTTACCAGTGGCTGCCTGCATCCACTTAAAAACATTAGTACTTGCGCACCGTCCTTATAATGGATCAGCAATCGCCTTGCTGCTCCCTCACTGTGAGGGACACCTAGCCACTCAACAAAATAACGATTGTTTGCTGAAAGTCTACACATCTTCCGCCGCAGGCTAAAGACACATCTCTTTCGACTACACCTTGGTTAAGAAGATGATGGTCTAATAACCATTGTCAAAAAAAAAATCAGTTTAGTTGCGCTTATATATTGCACATACATGTAGCATTTTGTAGTTTGGCTTTTTTGAAGCTTATGTACTTACATGATTCTTGCTGTTCTAGGTTTGTACCTCATGGTTGAATGCACTTATTGTAAGCTTTGGACGCTTTAGATAGAAGCGTCAGCTAAATGAAATGTAATGTAATAATATATATATATATTATATAATAGTAAAATAGCCAAGTCATGGAGTTATTTCTCAAAGTAAAATGTTTACACAGTATTTGCCTAGACAACAGCTTCTTGGTTCACATGATCACACTGTGTGTACAGTTAGAAAAGTGCCTGGTGATGAGGGATGAAGCCAGACGAAGTGTGTACGTGGACAACAGAACCAAACTCTGTCTCTGAGTTACCATGGATACAAGTCATGTTTTATGCAGCTGGTCTGGTTAGAGCTATAACTCATTGTCTGAATCTCTCACAGCGGTGACTTGTTCAGTATTACTTAGGAGTCATAGGTCAATTTAATATGGAGATCAGAGGGGTCGATGAGATGAGTGAAAGGTTTAATATCAATTTGTTGCCATGGTTTGATGTTGCACTGTTAATGCTAGAGATAAACTGTACAAAAGCTATCATGCTTTTCTTTGTCTATTCATTATGTCCATAATTATTGGAAGTCCGACATCACAATTTCACTACATGCTGTTTCAGCTTATCTCCTTAACATAAATCTTTATTCTAGGCCACAAGCACAGCCATGTTCTGCCCGTCTCAGGTCATGTTCTAAGCTTCTTGTTTCCACATGAAGTTACTTTGGATGAGAACCTGGCTGCATTTCTGTTTTGGAGTTAATTTTAAAATATCACTCTTTCTATTGAGACCAAGGGCAGGGCCTCTACTGTCAGGGTCCCGACCCTCTGGAACAGTTTACCTGAGGAACTCACCCCTAGAAACGTCAATGTCTGCTTTTAAAGTTACAGTGTGTAGAATTTTGTGATATCTACTTTTGAAGTTGCATGTGCAGCTGAACACCCCTCACCTCACCCTCTCCTTCCAAACATGAAAAAGAACCTGTGGCAGACTTTAATTAATCACCTTTTGGAAGATATCAGCAGACTTTTGAGCTCAAAGCACTTTTGCGTAAATGTCGAATATATATATAAGTTGGGGGTTGCGGACACTTGGATGACACCACACAAGCAGTATGGAGGCATGTTATATTTGTTCTGTTGTTTTATTACGCCTGAAGCTTTGGTAACTAATTTCTTCAATTAATTGTATTGGATTTTGCTGCAAAAATGTTTACTCTTAGACTCCTAAAATGTTTCGCAGATTCAAACACTTCACCCACCCCTCCATCGCCATAGTGGTGAGTAGATAATGAGTGAATTTTTATTGCTGGGTGAACTATCCCTTTAAGGTTGTGTCGATTGCTTAACAGACCTGAAATAGCTGACATGCAATGTATGAAGAAAAAAAAGAGTCACACGATCAGTTTAATTTTGTAAAAGGCATTGATTGAAAAATCCTCACTCTGCACCAGACTTTATGATAAAGCTCTGCACGCAACATCCAGAATACAATCAATAAAAATGTGACAGCATATTGTAGAACTGTTTGAGGAGGACGTTGGATGCAATTATAACATGGAATAATTCTGAAGTAGGTTCTGGAGCATTAACACAGGACAAGCGAGCAGCACTCTACTAGTTTAATATTTTACATCGTAAATGCCATTCGTCTTGGAAGGAGAAACACATACTGGAAGCCCTGGGATTTATGGTCCATCTCTCTGAGCCACAGCTGCCTGGAAGAGTTCATTTGTCTGAGTGCTGCTGAGTCACAGACGTCAGACTTCACTTTAGGTTGTTCATTTCAAGGGTTAGCAGCATCTGTTTTTCATTTGTCATGATTTGGTGGATCATACACACTATATGAGTCAGTAGCTGTCAGTCGCTCATGTTAAACTCACACAGGTAAGTGTTTTATTTGGACAGTGTCCAGCTTTCAGCACGAGTGTAAGGGGAAGCCATTGACCACTGCCTCATTTATCTGAGCATGGATGAACACAGACTACATACAGAAGACACACACACCTCAGGAAAATGAATCATGTCATATTTTATTGGATTATTCGTGTTTGCCAGTATTCCATGAACAGCTGACCCGTAGTCCTCTGTCCTCATCTCATCTGTCCGTGGGTTTGCTTTGTGTGCAGGTAAAGCGTTCCTTTGGCCTGTGCAGCCTTCAGCTGACCTATTTTGACGAGGAGAACGAGGAGGTGAGAGGCTTTTTACAGTTTACCTCCCTGTCATTTTGTTTTTTACACCCCTAAACTGTTGAACACACTGCACACACACTCTGAATATTGGCTCTCCCTAGTGTTTTCTAAAGGCTATCTTTTTGAAACCTAAGTAACTTCTCCTTTCTTCATGTTAAATTGTTGTAATTTTAGTTTTTTTTGAACAATTAATCATTTGTTTTCATTTGACTTTATATACAGTTTTATTTGTTTTTGATGATTGTATTTACTTTCATTCATTATTTTATTGTTGATAGTAACACTTTGGCCTAAATGGCCTGGCTCAGATCTGGTATTAACATCTGTCCTAAGAAATACAATCACAAGTGGACACACAAGCTTGTCTGTTCACACCTGACATAAGAACATCTCATGTGAACACTCTATATGCAAATAAACACACAAGTCATTTCTGTTTACAAAGAACAAATTGTTTTATTTGTACTCAGTATACAGATTGTCACGTGTGTGCGTATGCAGGAGTGTATGTGTGCGTGTGTGTGGGGGGCACTGATTTTATCAGTGTTGATGTTGTGGCCACAAACAAATCAACATATAGGCACAAGGAACCATAGGAATAGATTTGAATTATTTTGACACAGTAGTGGGTCAGTGATTTTAGCTGCATGGGCAGCCTGTCATATGTGGCCCATCATGCATTTGTGTTCACACAGCAGAAAGAATCTATATGTGTTCTGAGCGATCAGATTTCAGAAAGCATTGAGGACACATTTTGGGAACATTCAGATCTAAACTCAAGCTGCTTTCAGACATGCACTGAACTACAGATTTTCTGCAGACTTTCTCCACCTGGCCCCTGTGGTGGCATTTTCTGTGAAACAAGCACAAAGTCAAACACTTCTTTCTGAAAGTTTAATTCAGCATCTGCAGATGGACTCATCAGTACACATCACCTGAATGACATGCACAAATGAGCAAAGAACATAGGAGAATCTGTGTTCTTATAACTCACAGCCCCCTCCCACTAAGCATGCAAAGGTTTTTATTACCCTCTTGTAGTTTCACTCAGTGGAGGAGACATTCTGTCTTTTTGTTTACATGTTCTGTGGATGACCCCCCTGTGAGACCCCAGGTGTGAGATCCCAATCAGAGATACCATGAGACACCATAAAGATGTGGTTTCTCGAGGCCATAAAACTCAAGTCTCTTAAACCACCATCGTAAACCTTAAAGTTGCTCTTTTAGATTAACAATTTGGTCAACCATTTGGTCAGTCCTCCACATACATGTCTGCTCATGCAATTAAACATACACAAATGTAAATTTTCCATTACACCCCCTAGTATAAAGTCTGCAGAAAGAGGAGCAGATGTCAGAACACAGCAGGTGATCCGCTGCAGGATTGACCGCGAGGATGGCTTTAGAGCAGACCACTTTTGAGCTGATCACTCAGGATGGATGTTAATACCAGGTCTGAATGGTGTCTATGTTTGTATGAATGGTTTATTTTCAAGGGGCTCTACAGCAGTTTAATATTACACCCTTAAATTCCTAAAACTGTATCACCAAATCATTAACCGACCTATTTAAATGAGAATGATTCTCCTCTCTGCCTTCAGGTATCCATCAACAGTCAGGGTAAGTAAACAGATATCATATATAGCAGTATGCTTCCCAAAACCAAAGAATCTATTAAGCAGTGCATGAATATTAATGTCATGTGAAAAATGAAATATGTTTCTGCTTTTATTCCAGTGGAGTATGAGGAGGCATTGAAGGTAAGTTGATGACATGTTGAATTGCTATGCACATTTATGTACTTAAGGGAAACAATAAGGTAGTCTCCACTATATTTTAGCTCAGCTCACATTTTCTGTTTGAAACTTGACAGAGGTCAACAGGGTACTACTACTACTTGACAAAGCCAATTTTGAGACTTTGACATATGCAATACCAACAATTTTGGAAAAGTGAATTTTCAATCATTCATTTCCTGCTATTTCTCTGAAGGAGGTACACTGGAAGACAAATCCAAGGTGATGAGACAGTCAAAAAAACAGATTAAGTGAATATGACCAATAAGACTTCACAAAGAATATAAGATGATCTGGCACAATCAAAATGGAGCACGGGAAGTAGACTGAACGTGACACCTAATGCAAAGTCATGACACAATGGAAACAATTAGGACTGTGTACCTAAAGGAGCCACCAGTGTACTTCTCTCCCATGGACGTACAGTCTGGCACAATGCAGAAAACTGTACTTTGCAAATTACACAGCAGTCTGGTCCACACAGCAGATTCAAAACAGCATTTACTTCTCATACCACCTACACAAAACTCATATCAAACAGTGCAGAGGGAGTCTACAGAAGAGAGACGCAAGAACTCATGTGTTCAAAACAAACCCCAGGGTCAGACGCTGCAGGAGACACAACATATGACATGGAGATGGAGAGAGATAACCGCTGCTGTTAAACACATGCACCCAATTTCCATGGTGGAGAATATTGTAATGATGTGTTTCATTATCTGGATATAAAGTGGCCTCGATAATATGAGATAGAGATGAGAATATATCACAGTCTGCTAATTTAAGAAGACCTATTGGAAGTCTGTCTGGACGAATAGTCCACACATCATGTGTTGCTAGCTTGGTAACCAATGTGTTGAAGTAACTTGGTAATATTATGGTCAAAGTTGTTAATGATTTCAATAAGTCAAATCTTTTCCCATGCATGTTCTTTTGAGAGCAAACCTATAAAAACTGACAAAGTTATATAATTGTATGTGATCCATTACTTAAAGGTACACTGGTAGAATTTTGTGACATCGAATGTTGAAATCGAATGTTGCAGCTGAACACCCCTCAGCTCACCCTCTCCTTCCAAACATGAAAAAGAACCTGTGGTAGCTTCAGTTGTCATAAAA